AAACGTAAACGTAAACGTAAAGTAAAGTAAAGTAAAGTAAAGTAAGTAAGTAAGTAAGTAAGTAAGTAACGTAAGTAACGTAAGTAACGTAAGAAGAGAGAGAGAGAGAGAGAGAGAGAGAGAGAGAGAGAGAGAGAGAGAGAGAGAGGAGAATCGCCAGGGGACCTGTTGAGAGGGCAAGGCCTATCAAGTACATTTGGCTTATTTTGTTTTGGAATCCTGTTTCTATGCGGCCAAACCCGCATATGTAGAAATGCGGGACTATTAATATTTTTTTTTTGAGATGGATTTTTGTACTTAATTTTTAAGGACTTGTAATATCTAACAAAGAGATCATGAATATGAAAAAATAAGTAAATTTTTAAAACTAAAAATAGTAATTCTAGTAAAAAAAAAATTGGACAGTTAACTCCCACTGTTTTTTAGATGAAACACCTACTTGCATCCATCTTTAAGATAGGTGGTGCTTTACATTTTTTTGGATGGCATATGTAGTCATGCGGTTCAGCCCACATAAAACAATTTTCCTTTTGTTTTTTTAGTAATTCAGTTGGAAATATAGGCCTTATGTCTTTTTTAAATGGTTATTGGTTTTTGAAGATTTTTTTAAGGGTGCGGTTTCTATAAGGTTGAAACCTTAAACAATCCAATCAAGGCGGACCTCCAAATTTTATTATAACATGTAATTTTGGTGTAAAAAATTCTTAAGATTATCTGAAAATATATTTTTCTATGTAATTATAAAATTTCAGACTTCAAAAATGGTTAAGATCAAGTAGATCTATATATATGAAAATCTTGAAAATGAACGGTCTAGATAATGTGTTGCAAGATGTACTATTTTTGGGGCTCAAAATCATTTTTTATCAGATTCATACATCTCGATGTCGAGATGACCAATTATATGGTTTTTCAGTATTAAAACAACATTTTTCGATGGATTTTTTAGGTGCATCTGTAATTCTACATTTTAAGGTTGCAACCTTATATAAATTTTTTTTTTAAAAAATGGTGAGTGGTTTTTAAAGTTTTTTAAATGGGTAGTGGCTTTTTTTTAAATGGTTAGTGGTTTTACCGGTTTTTTAAATGGTTGGTGGTTTTTGAAGTTTTTTAATTGGTTAGTGGTTGTTTTTTAAACGGGTGCGGTTTGTATAGATCCTAGGCTCTAAACAATCAAATTAGAGCCTATATTCAAATGGTGTCGAGAAATATGGCTTTAATACGGGAAATCTTTGTGATAGTCTTAAAATATATTTTTATAGTTATTTATAAAGTTTAAGGCTTGAAAAGTAGTGTAGATCGACAGATCTATAAAAACTTGAAAATCTTGAAAATTGACGGCCCAAAAATACGTTATAAAATACATTATTTGCAGAACTTAAAATCCATTTTTCTCATATCCATGCATCTTGATGTCAAGATGATTGATTTGAAGATATTTGGGCATCAAAACAACTTCTTCTAGTGAAATTTTTGAGGTAGGCTCAAATTTGATTGTTTAGAGCATTGGCTCTATATAAACTTTTCCCTTTTTAAAATGGTTAGTGGTTTTTGATGTTTTTTAAAAGAAAATTGTTTCATGCGGACTGGACCGCATGACCATATATGTGGTCCAAAAAGTGTAAAGCATCCATCTTAAATATAGATGCAAGTAGGTGTTCCATCTAACGACAATAGAAACTAACGGTTCAACTGTTTTCTTAATAGAATTATCTCCATGTTAGAGATTACATATCCTTAAAAATTAAGTCCAAAAATCCATCTCAAAAATAGATTTATTAATAGGTTGCATCTCTACATATGCGAGCTTGGCCACATAGAAATCGTGTCTTTTTTAAAATGGTTAGTAGTTTTTGAAGGTGGTAATGGAAATAGAAGCAACTGAGAAAGATTATGCCTTTGGAGAAATAAATAAACTGGGGAGAATATCCCAACCCTCTATATATTATTGGAAAATTGTTTCATGCGAGCTGGACCGCATTTCTACATGTGGTCCAGAAAGTGTAAAGCATCCATCTTAACGATGGATGCAAGTAGGTGTTTCATATAAAAACAATAGAAACTAACAGTCCACAAGTTTTCTTACTAGAATTGTTATTTTTAGTTTTTAAAATTTATTTATTTTTCATATTCATGATCTCCATGTTAGATATTATATGTCTTTAAAAATTAAATCTTAAAATCCATCTCAAAAATCAATTTATTAAGAGGCCCTCATTTTTATATATGTGGGCTTGGCCATATAGAAACCGCGTCCTATATTATTTGCTTTCAATTTTTTGTTTTTCTTTTCTTCTCTACAGCATAAAAGTAGGATTTGAACTTAAGATGCAGCCAAAGTCAGCTACTAAACTCAAGCACGACCCTGATGTTATCTGATTTCAAAGTTATAGGAAATTTCCTTTAAGTACACAAATCTCAAGGGCATGTTAAGTAAGCATGAAATATGAAAGAACTCCCCATGTAATTGGGTGTGGGTTCTTTCATGTGAGAAGGAATTGAGAAAGAGAGATAGACTAGAGCCAAAATGTCTGTCACAAAATTTGAGGGATAATTTCCTCCTTTAAAAGTTTAAAGAAACTTGGGATTTTTAAATAGCCAGGCATAGAGAAAAGGAGAACCACAATGAGACAAGATGGATTGAGTAGATTCAAGCATTGAAAAACCTTTACAACGATGATCTCAACTTGGAAATTATGTTTGTGACAAAAAAAAAAAATTAGAGCTCTAAAAATAGTGTATATTGCAACAAATTATCTAGGTCATGTATTCCGCCCTAAAAATAAGTGTTCATATATCCACATTATTTGTACCATTTTTTGAGTTTCAAATTTTATTGTTAGTATTGGAAATTGATTTTAGAGCCATCATGGACATTTATGTAGCTGAAAGTGCTTTCCAAACAAAGATTTGAAATCAGACTTTATTTTGTTTTCATAGAGCCTAGGCCATATAGAAAGTTCATCCTTCAAAGAAGGTGGGCGAGCAATTTTACCATTCAAAAAAAAAAGAGGGCAGGCAATTGACAATTCTTTTTTTTTTTTTGGGTTTGGGAAAAACTTGGATACCAAAGGAATTCATTTTCCAAGATTTATTTTTCTCTTTATACATAAGTTATTTAGTTTTTATTTAAAAAGAAATTATATATTACTGAAGCAACAAAAATTTGTGACAAAGGTCTACAACAGCAAATCCTTGTCTGGGTAGGTATTGTCCTACGATTCTAGAAAATTGTAATTCTTGTATTCCTAAGCACTCTTTACCGATGCGATATTTCCAACCTAATCAGGTATCATTATACTTTCATCTTTTTATTTTTTATAAATTTTTTTGATGTGCTTTTATATATGGTGTGGTTTCCATAAGGTTGCAACCTTAAACAATTCAATTAAGGCGCACTTCCAAATTATATTAGGATCATCTAAAAATCTATTTTTGTATCTAATTATAAATTTTAAACTCCAAAAATGATTGAAATCAAGTAGATCTATAAACATATGAAAATCTTGAAAATGGACAGTCTAGATTATGTATTGCAAGATGTACTATTTCTGGGACTCAAAATCTTTTTGTTTTTTTTCATATTAATACATTTCAATATCGAGATGATCAATTAGAAGGCTTTTCAACATTAAAACAACTTTTTTCAATGGATTTTTGACATGCATCTTTATTTCTACATTTTAAGATTGCACCCTTACATATTTTTCTTTTATATATATCATCTAGTGTATAGAAACTCGACTCAACCCTTGGCCGAGCCAAGTAACTCAATTGGACTTGGGCGAGTCATGCATAGGGCTGAAAAGCCCTCAATAAATTTAAAAAAATGACAAAAGAATTTAAACAATAATGAAAATATAATAAAAACAAAAAAACCTTAAGGAGCCGCAACTAATCTTAAAAAAGTATTAGAAAAATGGTTTTAGAAAAGCAGATTTATAGGCATGAGCATTTAAAAAAATCTAAAACAAGGTGAAATATAAAAATAGAGATTTATGGCAAAAAATACTCATCAATTTTTCTAAAAAAGATAAATCCCACATTTTTATGGTTTTTAGAATTTTTTAATTTTGTTTAATATCCCCAAGTTTTTACACGTTACTTAGGAAAACTCAAAAGACTTGGTTGAGTCCCCAAAACTGGAAAAATATATTTTTCGTACAAGGAGGCCACCATTACTCTTGTCTATTAAATTTCAAAATGAGTAATTGTAAGAGTATCATTGAATAGATACAAAGTTCCCAAAACAAAACAAAAAATTATGTGACTCATCCCAAGCTATTCGATTTGACATCTAATGAGTGAGAATAATTGTGACCTCCTTATAATAAAGATAAATGGCCTCTACAATCCCGACACTTAATCATCTTTTCTGTTTCCTTTCAATTATTTTTTGTTTCCATTGGTATTTTTGTTTATTCATATTTTTTTAACCACATTTCGTTGGTGTAGGTACTCCTCGATTCAGTGGAGCTTAGACGAAGCCCTTATTTATCTCTATAATATTTTGCAATATTTTTGTTTCTTTTGGCTTTTAAAGCTTTCATCACATCCTTTAAAACCAACATGTCTAAATTAGAGGAAGAAATTTTAAAAAGTCACTTTTGCCATGCAATTTTTATCGTTGTTGTTGGATCACTAATCCTTTACGGCTATGCTAGTATTAGCAAAGGGTACGTGCTCCTCACTGTTGGGTTTTTGTGACCATTAAAGGCCCTATGAGAGCATGTATTCAATATATGATATAGTGGAACAAAGAACTCC